CAATTTAATAAATTAATTATTAAGCTTAAATAATTTATATAAAATGAAATTTAAGAGCCCAGTGGGAAATTTCGTTTGAACAAGTTTCATTGTAAAACAGAGTAAACAAAATTGTTTTAAAGAAATCTTCGGACAAAAATATTCTTTCATTGAAAGGTTAACATTATCTATAGAAAATTTGAGTCTAAATCAGAGTCAATTTCTATAGAGATTTTCAGTCTTAATCAGAGTAACTTCCTGTAGAAAATTTGGATCTGAGTGAGAGTCATTTCCTATAGAAAATTTGAGTGTGACTCCGACTCACTTTCTTTAGAAAACTTAAGTCTGAATCAGGGTAATTTTCTATAGAAAATTTGAGTCTGAATCAGAGTAATTTTCTATAGAAATTTGAGTCTGAATCAAAGTTATTTTCTATAGAAAATTTGAGTCTGAATCGGAGTCGTTTGCTATATAGAGTTTGAGTCTAAATCAGAGTCATTTGCTATGAGTCTAAATCAGAGTCATTTTCCATAGAAAATTTGAGTTTGAATCAGAGTAATTTGAGTCCGAATCAGAGAAAATTTGGATCTGAGTGAGAATCGTTTCCTATAGAAAATTTGAATCTGAATCAGAGTCAATTTGTATAGAAAATGTGAGTCTAACTCAGACTTTTTTTCTTTAGAAAACTTAAGTCTGAATCAGGGTAATTTCTATAGAAAATTTGAGTCTGAATAAGAGTCATTTTCTATAGAATATTTGAGACTTAGTCGGAGTCAATTTCTATAGAAAATTTGAGTCTGAATCATGGTTATTTTCTATAGAAAATTCGAGTCTGAATCAGAGTCATCTTTTATAGAAAATTTGAGTCTGAATCAGAGTAATTTTTTATAGAAAATTCGAGTCTGAATCAGATTAGTTTCCTGTAGAGATTGTGGGACTGAAAGAGAGATTTTCAATAGAAAATTTGGTTGTGAATTAGAGTAATTTTCTGTAGAAAATTTGAGTCTGAGTCCAAGTCACTTTCTATAGAAATTTCGAGCCTGAATCAAGGTTATTTTCTATAGAAAATTTGAGTCTGAATCTATATATATCTATATAAAATTTGAGTCTGAATCAGAGTCTCTTTCTTGAGAAAATTTGAGTCTGAATTAGCGTAATTTTCTATAGAAAACTTGAGTCTAAATCAGAATCTGAATAAGACTAATTTTCTGAATCTGAATCTGAATTTTCTATAGAAAATTTCTCTCAATTACCCTATTTCATATTTTCTACTCACACTCAACAGAATGAGTAAAATTTTCTCTAGAAAATATCTCACTCAAGAGAATGAGTAACATTCATTCATTCATTTTCACTCAACAAAGTGAGTAGTAAATTCTATAGAAAATTTCTCACTCAATCGATTGAGTAGCATTAAGTATAGAAACTTACTCACTCAACCGTGTAAGTAACATTTTCTTTACAAAATTTCTCACTCAACATACTGAGTAACATTTTCTATAGTAAATTTAAAGAGAGCTACACGCTCTTAAGAAATTACCAACATTTTCTTTAGAAAATTTCTCACTCAACATTGGCAGCAATATTTTCCTTAGAAAATTATACTAAACTTTTCAACTGGATATTGAATCTGTACAAATATTTATAATAAATTAATTCTTAGAATATTGATTTAAATATGTTATCTTGACCTTTTTTACTCTAAATTGTCAAATGAAAACAAAACTAAATTAATCATTTTCAATATCATCTGTTCGTATTATAAGAAATTGTTAATCAGAGGAGAAATGTCTACAAATCATGGCAATAATTTTGTAATCAAATCAATTCTTAAAAAACACAATTTGCAAAATAACAAAATATAAACCTGGAATACATAGGACACATTATATGATAATTCCTAAATACATACAAGAAATGTCAATTTAAACACACGTGTCATCAAAGAAAAGACATACATACGTATAAAACATTTGAAGAAAGTAGATTAAATTGTGGCAAATTTACAAAGATATTGATGACTTAAATGTCTTTTCAACATTTATGTATTCTCAAACATTTAACAAATCATCTTATAGGGTTAACCTTTTTCTAACCCTTTCCTCATAAACGACAAAACACACATAAGTTACCATATACATATGTATTCATTCCCCCATTTTCCTAAAGATGTATGTATACAAAATTGAAAATTGTCATTCATTTCGACATGTCCTGTAACCCAACGTATGAGTGAACACAAACAATTGTCACAATTTACTTTTTTTTCTTTGTCACAATGATTACTTTGCACAACCTTTTAATGACCTTTGTAATGCCAGTCTTACTTTAAAGAATATTTCATTGACTGTTTTTATTTAAGATGAAAAAGAAAAAATTCTCCACCTCAAATTTTATTAAGGAATGTGTTTAAATGTAATTTTTGCACTATAAAATGATGTATTATTTTCATTTATAATCCTCTTTCTACTACTCCATCATTCAATTGTTTTAGATATTACTTTCGCAATCAATTTTCTTCTTTCCCTCTTCTCTACACTATCTTTCAATTAATTTCTATCCTGTCTCTATCCACACTATGTGTTTTATTTACGATTTTTTCCTTTCTTGGCAACATATTTTCCTTTTAATAGTGTCACCTTTAAGAACATTATATTATACTTGTTTAGTGTTTTCCTTTAATAACATGTTGAGGTTTTACGTGGGTTGATTTATAAGTAACTTCGAAAATCTCGGTTCTATACCGGATATTGCAACGTTAATAGTTGGTTATGTCAAGCAACTCTTCCTCTGCTTAGCACTCCAGTATTAACAAGTCAGTGATTTTCAATAGGAAACTTCTTGAAAGCATGTCTGATAGAATTATTGATGATTTGGATCCCGAAGATATCTGAGGTCTTCAGAAAATTAATTTCAGCAGACAGACAGATGGACATGGCTTATAGACTCCGCTATCTAAAAGGATCCAGAATACTTTATACTTTATAGGGTCAGAAAATTATATTGTGGAAATTACAAACGGAATGACAAACTTATATATACCCTTCCCACGAAGGTTAGTACTGATGACATAGCACACTCTCCACTACAGCCAATTAAACAGTTGATCTTCCCAACAATGGTAGAATGGGAATGGGTTCATTATAGTTACTGTTATCTCCAACTCATATTCACTTTAGTTCCCAAATTAACAAAAATTATGAATAGAAGACTAAAAATCAAAAAAAGTTCCAAATTTCAACTGAATTGAATAGAATGGATCCAATTCGTGAATTGAATTCTATCAAATCGTATAAACTTAGTGGAATTTATCTAATTCTCGTCGAATTAACAAGAATTAATAGAATTCAAGTCAAATTTCCAAGAATTGATTCAATTCTAGTCGAATTGACCGTAATTATTCCAATTCTAGTCGAATTAACTAAAATTGATCCAATTTTGGTCCAAGTAAATAGAATTGATCCAATTTTAGTCGAATTATTAAAGTTTAGTCGAGTTGACTAGAATTACTTCAATTCAAGTCGAATTGACAGGAATGGATCCAACTCTAGTTGAATTATCAATAAATGATCCAATTCTAGATTAATTATATTTGTTTGGTTATAGTTGATCCAACCATTCCCTAGCATTGAGAGAAGGGTTTCCTTCCCTAATTTCGTTGACTACTTGGTTCGTTAGGTCTCCGAGAAAACCAGCCGCTGCTTCTAATAAAACCAATCATATTTATTAGTTAAGCATCTCTGAGACAGTCTATTCTACAAGTGGTGATATTTGACCACCTGAGTTCAGTCTCACTCAAAGCCCATTCATCTATCAATTTTGATAGGGTCGCCAGGCGAGTGTGAATATCCTTTTGCGCAAGGGTTAAGTCTAGGGACGACCCTTTGGTTCTGTCTTTGATCCATCAGTATAGATTGAGATCACGGTCCAATCATCCCTTGTCGGTATTCTGGTCTTGAATGACCTATTAAAATTCAGTGTAGATAGAATAAAGTCTATTTCCCGCCCCATGATTGGCGTGCCTATCTTTTGTAGGATGGTGCCATGACCAATGCGGTCGCGCTTCAGTCCGTTCGACTAGAATTGATCTAAATATAGTTGATTATAGCTGAACATCTAATCGAATTGACCAGAATTGATTCAATTATAGTTCAGTTATAGTTAATCCAATTTTGGTCAAATTCACTAGAATTGATCTAATATTTGTTAAATTTACAAAAAAAGGATCCAATTCAATTGATCCAGTTCTAGTCGAATTTACAAGAACCGATCCAATTCTAGTCGAATTGACAAGAACCGATATAATTCTAGTCGAATCAATTAGAATTGATCCAATTTACGAGCAATTATAGACTTAACCGCATTATATTCGAATTAACTGAAATCAATCTAAATTTTGCAGAACTGATCCAATTCTAGTCATAACCAATTAGTAAAATTTTCTATTTTCCCACTCAACTTAATTATATATCAACCTCAAACTTCTCATGTATTCCCACTAAGCCATTTTTCAGCTACTTTTGCAATAATACAAATAACTACTTATAATAATAATGTTAAGTGATTTTCACATTTTATTATTATTCTAATAAAACGCAAGAAAAAATATATAGTCTCTTCTTCAATTTCATCAGTTCTAAACACAGCACATTTGCCACTTTCTATTATTACTTTCATACTTTTTATCTAACACTTGCAACCACTTGTAATATTTTAGTTAACTATGACACCTTAGGTGAAATTTTATTCCCCCAACGTTAGAGAGTGAGAGCGATACTAAAATTTAGTTATACAACAGCTCGTAAACATTTACTAAATAAAAACTGGGTAAAGTAAAACCAAAGCCATCATCCATTTTAAATGTGTCTCTATTTCTTTTGTACTTGTTTGTCTTTAACTCAATAACATAAGTTTTTGTACTTGTGCAATTCTGCCATTAGCAGCACACCAGCACTTCATATACATAGTACATTCCTTCATTCATTTGCTATCAAGTATTGTACATTTTCATTATGTTACAGGACTACGTGACCGTATATGATGGTTATACAACGCGTGATCCAATTGTATTGAAATTCTGTGGTGGTGGTCAAGCTGTGCCCGCAGCAGTCTCTAGTGGGCCCGAATTATTGGTAGAGTTTACTACATCACCATATGGTACATTTACAGGAAGTTCATCGCAAGTATTGCCTTTGTATGGTTTTCAGTTGGAGGTAAGTTGGCGTCATTAGTAAAGTTAAATTGAAATTTTTGTTTTGATTTTATTGTGATTTCTGCACAGGTTGAGGTAATATTTGTGGATATACAATCACCCACCTATTCAAAAAATAAGAAACCATGTGAGTTTTGGATTAGAGGTTCCGGACGTGGTATCTTAGAGAATCCCAAACATTCTTTGGCTCCCAATACCACCTGTTTGTATCATTTACAAGGTGTGGGTATTTTTAAGACTTTCGATCATTTAAGTCTTTCACGTCGTACTAATGCCCAGGGTCTACATCATCCGCCCTCCCGATTTAAGGTGTGGATTTCTATGTTGAAATTTAATTTAGATCCAGAATTTGGTAATATCGATGAAACGTCAGTGGGTGCTATTGGTGTGCTGCAGACTCAAGAGGATTGCAGTGGTATGCTGCGCATATGGGATGGTTCGATGAGAGAGCCTCCCATATGCAAGGATTTGAATTGGTGAGTTAGCCTTTATGAAATTCTAATCGAAAGTTTAAGATAATTGATGGTTTTTTATCTTCAATTTCCAGCATGACCGAAACAAATCAGGTTCACCCCTCTCTACAACAATATTCCCACAATACCACCAATGTTATAGCAAGATATTGTCGCGGTACAGTGCCTCGAACCTGTGACCGAGCAAATATAAATGAAACTTATGCCCGACCTTGTACAGTTTCCGAGAGTTATGTCTCAAGTGGAGATTCTATAACTTTAGAATTGAAAAACACCGAATCAACAGTGTTAAGGTAATTAGTACTTATCCAATTCTAATCGAATTACCAACAATTGATCCAATTCCAGTCGAATAGACTGCAACTGATACAATTCTAGTCGAATTGAATGTAACTAATCCGAATTGACTGGAATTGATCAAATTCTCGTAAAATTTACTACAATTGTTCCAATTATGGTTAAATTGACTACAATTAATACAATTCTAGTCGAATTAACTATAATTGATCTAATTCTAGTCGAATTGACTAGAACTGATTCAATTCTAGTCGAGTTGACTACAATTGATCCAATTCTAGTCGAATTGACTACAATTGATCCTCTTCTAGCCGAATTGACTACAATAGATCCAATTGTAGTTGAGTTAACAAGAATGTATACAATTCTAGTCGTAGTAGTTGACTAGAATTGATCAAATTCTAATCGAATTGACTACAATTGATTCAATTCTAGTTCAATTGACTACACTTGATCCAATTCTAGTTGAGATAACAAGTATTGTTCCAATTCCAGTCAAATTGACGAGAATTGATTATATTGTATACTAGATACAGAATATCTACTCAATCTCTCTCTTTGCAGACCCCTAGAATTTAAACTGAAATACGAATTCATCGATCTGCATCAGGATGGCTTGCCCATGGGTGGCGGAGAACTCGATTGCAATCGTAAATTCGTTAGTAATCTAATGGATCGCAAAGATCCTGCGATTTTTCGCAGTGTACGCAATATATTTCTATTTGGTCGTGGTGGTACACGAAATCTTAAGTGCGTCTATAAATTTGAGGGCATGAGAAGTGAAAGAGTTCGCATAAAATTACGCAAAGTAACCACCATGAATAGGCATTGTATGTCACGTGTGGATGAGGATATAAATAGGTCATTCTGTTATGGTGATACCAGTGTTAAGGTTGAGGTAAGTTGTTATAATCAAACGCTTTCAGCGGGTGTTTAGATAACCCAGCAAACAATAATAACACATAGTTTTGGATTTTTGAAAATTTCGTAAAATTGGGTTATGATTCTTAACGACTTATTGGAATCGATACCCTCTCTTTGAAATTTTGAGAAATAAAATTACTATAATTTTCACATGTTTGTTGGTCTAGAGATATTCATATACACATATAGTAATTTCCTTGTATTTGTTTCGTTGCATTCGCTCAAAAACCCACACACACACACACATAACAGATATTTGAACGTCCGTATCATGACACAATATTATTGCCACGCGGTTGCCTTTGTAATTCATCGAACTCATCACATTTACCAGTTGAATACACATCGACAAGTAATGACGTTGAAGTTCATTTTACTGCCTACAATATGACAACGTTGGATGATCCAGATGCTTTGAATTTTGAGGGAATGTTTGAGTTTATCAAAGGACCATCGAATTGTAAAGATGGTCGTAGGAAATTTGGTCCCAGCGGCACCATCGATATGACATTCGGAGATGTGAGTATAAAGTAATTCTTTACAAAAATCAAAAAAAAAAAAAAAATAAAGCTGAAATCATCAGCAAATAATGTTGCAAATAACTAGAGATTGATTTCAATATGTATATTCAAAAGTTTGCATTTGTAGAACAATTGCTGTTGTTGTTGTTAAATTGTATTTATTCATGTGTAATTTCAATGTTGCATGACAAATTCATTTGGTTTTTGAAACTTATTTGGTTTTTATTCATTTTTGTTCTCTGTGGTCTTTACAGATGGAATGTCGCACCCGCCCTTGGCTTATTGAACCATCGAATGGTAATAAATTCTTGTACATACGTTTGAAAGCAATTTTCCTGCGTAAATACAATCCCAAAAAGGCCATGAACACTACCATAGTGGGTACAAGTTCATATCGTTGTGAGACTAAGGCCAGAGCTGTACTAACTACGGCGGAAGGTAAGTTCATAAAAGTTTGGGTGAATTGACTAGAATCGATCCTATTCTAATCTAATTTACTGAAATCAATCCAAATCTAATCAAACTGACAAGAATTTCAGTCGATTTAACTAGATCTGATCGACTTCAATTCGAATTGACTAGACTTGATCCAATTCAAATCGAATTAAATCTGGCTGATCGATTTTTCATCGAATTGACTAGACTAGACTAGACATTTTGGGATATCAACTAATTTCTGACTAGACATGGCAGCTTACACTAGGACTATTCCCATTACATATATTAATGGATTAAACATTTACAAGATAGATATGAAGTATAAGCTCATAGAGAACTTAAACTTAAGAAAACGTCAAGATTTTGAAGACCTATAATCAGTGAATGAAGAGTAAAGTGCTATAAGCGTTCAATTTGGTATGCCAAGACATTGAGTGATGGTAGTCCAATGCCCCTGACTACTCCAGAGAACAAACAAGATGTTGATGGAATCGGTTTGATTACGATTGAATTTGTTTTTCAGTTGACACACGCTTTCTATCATCAATATTGGTTTGATTTCGACGTTTCTCCTGATCTGATCAAATCGTTCTGATATGGAAGGACTGGTCACACTAGAATCATGACAATGACCTAGTCTACTAGGTACCACCTTAAGGAGACACATTAAAAGGTTTTGTTCATGGTAGATTTTTAACTGGAAAACGATGCACAGGTTTCGAATGCCTAAGATCCAGCAAAGAGAAAGAATTAAAGAGATCGAGAAACTAGATACACTATATATAGTATGTCGAGACGTTAGACGCATGAGAAATATAGCATTCTCGATAGTACTTCAAACTGAGAAACACCTTCCACACAATAATGCCGAATACTACCGTCGTATTGTTCAACTATGATCACCATCTAAGTAGTCTTAACTAAGGCTTAAATGGGTGGCCTCCGGTAGGTTAGTGTTGTAGTCTTGTAGACCGGAGGTGGTGGCTTCGATTTTCACCTGAGGCATTGGTAAAGATGAACAACAACAACAGGCCCGATAGAGCCCTAGACGTATTACTTCGGATTTGATGCATATACATCCTCCTTTCAAACTAACTAACTAACTAAGGCTTAAATGGTATGTTATCAATGCGGAATGTCATTACGCAAAAACACGTAAAGTGTAACCATCGATGTCTTTAACTCCTTTAACTCATGATCCTTGTGGAATTGCAAGAGCAAATCCCGTGTACCGTTATTAGCAGCAACATAAACGAATTTTAGCTCTAACAAACTATCAAGCTCTGATAACTGCCTGTTAACTTCCAACATTTGGAATCTGAAAAAAACAAGACGACATGGAAAAAACTCCTACTTAAATGTCTATGTCAATCCTGGATCTTTAAACATTTCAACGTTAATGGAAAATCCAAGTTTTTCTGTTTGGTATTTAGAGATCGGTAATGTTTCAATAATTAATTTAGTGTCTGAAATCCGGATTTTGTCAGATTAGTGCTCCTAGCGACCAATAAAGACTAACAATGATTAAACCCATATCTGATATATGGACATGACAAAACGTGTCCTATATTAACTATAGATGTACAACCACTTAATATAAACTATAGACTAATAAATATTACCCCATCTTGTACTCAACCAAAATTACAAGATATTCTTTCCCATTTCAACAATTTCATATTAACAAAACTTTACTCTTTGAACTAACAAATTTCCAAAATTACTAATTTAAATGAATTAAACGAATCAATAACATTCATTCATACTTTTATAACCTTAAGGCTTAAGAAAGCTATTTAATTTATAAATTTCCTTAATTGATAGCAGATACGATTTTCTATATTCTAACACTAGTAACCTTTTATTAGTATTAAACTAGAAACTCCAAAAAAAAAAACAAATTTTACTATTTTAACTTGTGTCCTACTATGAGCATCTGTGTATAAAATTGTCATTTCATTTTGTAGGTTTAACAATCACAGCATGCCCACTGGCACCTGATTCAAAAGCCTATGAATATGTGGAGATTTTCAGTGCTGGCTGGAATGAGCGTCCTAATTTTGCCATTGCAAATCGTTCAAAAGCCATTAGTGTAGAGTTCCTAAGACCAGAGAATGGTGACTTTTCATTTAATTGGATGGAATTGATACCAGGACCAACACTCAGTATAGCAGGTAAGTTTGGCTAATGTACACTTATCCATACATACTTACAAACAATGTAAAATGTGTATAAATTAGTCTGTATTGGGCTATTCTAACAAAATTTGCCTTTAAAGTAGCTAAGTATTGTTTTTGCAATTTACAATTGTTAATACTTTATTTGAATTTTGTCTCTATTTCTTTTTTGTGTAGAAGAATGCCAGTATAAATGCTCTGAGTTGAATGCCTGTGTTAATGTTAGTGTTTGGTGTGATGGCATACAACATTGTCCCTCAGGTGATGATGAAACTTTCCTGCAATGCTCGGCCATTATGAAATTACCTACTGAAATTTTGGCAACATTGTGTTTGATTATTGTACTCTTCTGTTGTGCATTTGCAGCGTTTGCCTATAAGTAAGTATTAACGAAGTTTTTCAATTTTGTTTATTATTTAGTTTTTTTCTTGGCGCATTTCACACCATTTTCCAAAAGTTTATATCAATGGCATTGATAATCCTGTGATACTGAATCGGGTACGGTTGAATCTCGGTGATATTATAGGCCTTAGAAACAAGTCATCATTGCTACCGGTCTTAACAATCGATGACTTTGACTTTCTCTGCCATATTAAATGATTAAATCTTTAAGAGATCAATGATCGGGGTATAATGGCTGTCTCTAATTTAGACACGAAGACCTTGAAGCGATAAATGTTAAACAGCACGAACGAAGACTGGTACGCTATAATTACACTATCCAATCTATCTGGTCATTGAGGGCAAGAAATCGTCTTCTTACAATCCTAGCCGATAACGATCACTACTGACTCTGTAACTTGTAATCCTTTTCCAATGAAAGCGCCTTAATAATAATGCAAACTAAATAACTGAAGAATTTCGAATCATAATACTTCTAGTATTACAGAAATCAAATGTTGATTTCTGTAATACTAGAAGTATTACAGGTCTTCTGATATCAAATAAATGAAAAAATATCATTCAACAATCATATTTAAACGATCACTGTGATGACATTGACCGATTCTGATCATCAACTCGGGTACTATCATTTTGTGATGAGAGGAGGTGATGATCAAAGAGACTATAGACAGATTACGATCACATACTGAGATATTCTTACTGTACATGCTCTTCCATATAAAGAAAATCTCACTAAGAGAGTGATCGTTATCAATGTAATAAGTTCTTCACAAAATAACAAAAGTGCAGTCTGCGATTTCTTAAACTCGAGAATCATTATCTTTCAGGTATTGCAAAAGTTAGTCATTATTGGAACCAAGATTTAAAAGAAAAGAATTTCTTCCAAACAACCAATTAAGCTTAGATTTTCGTCTATTTATCTTTCAACATTAAGACACTTACAATCTCCAGATAGTGATGCAACTACATGATCATTTCTGCTCATTAACTGAAGAGTTTCGAATCACAATCCTTCTAACCCAAAATCTTCTGATATCAAGTAAATGAAAAAAGAATCATTCAACAATCATGTTTTAACGATCACTGTGATGACATTGACCGATTCTGATCATCAACTCATTTGGTGATGAGAAGAGGTGAGGATCAAAGAGACTATAGACCGATTACGATCACCAACTGAGAGATTTTTACTGTACGTTCTCTCCCATATAAAGAAAGTCTCATTAAGAGCAAAGAGTGATCGTTATCAATGTGTAATTATTGGAACCAAGATTTAAAAGAAAAGAATTTCTTCCAAACAACAAATCAAGCTCAGATTTTCTTCTATTTATCTTTCAACATTAAGACACTTACAATCTCCAGATAGTGATGCAACCGCATGATCATTTCTGCTCATTGACTAAAGAGTTTCGAATCACAATCCTTCTAATATCAAATGTTGATATTGAAGGGATTTCACCAACCCAAGCTCTTCTGATATCAAATAAATGAAAAAAGTTCATTCAACAATCATATTTTAACGATCACTGTGATGACATTGACCGATTATGATCATCAACTCGGGTACTCTCATTTGGTGAGGAGAGGAGGTGATGATCAAAGAGACTATAGACCGATTACGATCACAAACTAAGAGATTCTTACTGTACATCCTCTCCCACATAAAGAAAATCTCATTAAGAGAGTGATCGTTATCAATGTGATATGTCCTTCACAAAATAACAAAAGTGCAGTCTGCGGTTTCTTAAACTCGAGAATCATTATCCTTCAGGTATTGCAAAAGTTAATCATTATTGGAACCAAGATTTAAAATAAAAGAATTTCTTCCAAACAACCAATTAAGCTTAGATTTTCGTCTATTAATCTTTCAACATTAAGACACTTACAATCTCCAGATAGTGATGCAACCACATGATCATTTCTGCTCATTAACTGAAGAGTTTCGAATCACAATCCTTCTAACCCAAAGTCTTCTGATATCAAATAAATGAAAAAGGATCATTCAACAATCATATTTTAACGATCACTGTGATGACATTGACCGATTGTGATCATCAACTCGGGTACTCTCATTTGCTGATGATCAAAGAGGCTATAGACCGATTACGATCACCAATTGGGAGATTCTAACTGTACATCCTCTCCCATATCATCAACTCGGGTACTATCATTTGGTGATGCGAGGAGGTGATGATCAAAGAGACCATAGACCGATTACGATCACCAACTGAGAGATTCTTACTGTACATCCTCTCCCATATAATGAAAATCTCATTAAGAGAGTGAAGAGTTCTTCACAAAATACCAAAAGTGCAGTCTTTATCCTTCTAGTAATGCAAAATTTAGTCTAGCGTTTAAGATAGTCATTATTGGAACCAAGATTTAATAAAAAAGAACTTCTTCCAAACAACCAATTAACCTTAGATTTTAGTCTGTTTATCTTTCAACAATAAGACACTTACAATCTCCAGATAGTGATGCAACCGCATGGTCATTACTGCTCAACAATCCAACTCAGCTTTCTCTGGGTAATATACATAGTTAGTTTTAGTTTTACCAGTAACGGAAAAGTAATGAATCATCATCGTGTGAAATAATTCACTTGTCGATCTTAATCTTCTTAAGGGTTGTTGGCGTACGGTTATCATCAAAAATCGGCCGATGAATATTTTGGAATCCAGCTGTTTACTCGCCCAAATGCAACATAGACTGACTTTTTAAATTGTGGTAAAATTGAGAAGCCAATTACTCTCCTATTGAAGAAATGTCCAAAAAGTAATTGCAATTGTCTTTATTTAGTCCTGATTTGGTGATCGATAAGTTCGTCCTTAGTTTTCCTTTACAAAATGCATACAGAAATCCTTAATGTCAAGATTATTGTCAAGATTCTTCTAGGAAATGGTGTTTCAAATTTACATTAAAACATTTTCATTTTCAATTTCCAATTGCCTTTAATTAATACCATTCGCTTGAGATTAGCATTTTAACATTTCAATTTAATTGTAATTTCATTTTCTTTTATCCTTTATTTTTAGAAAAATCAAAAGAAAATTAAGAGGCTCATCAGTTTTGCAGACACGTTTAAAATCCTTAAGCTCCATGGATACAGCCGTTTTGGATGAAAAAGAAGTGATTTGCTGACAAAGCGACAATTCTGTGCGATATGTTGAAATAGATCGGGTCACTACAGTCTGACCACATTCTATGGAAACACTTGAAAAAATATCGCACAGAATTGTGCCTCTTGCTTGTAGACTGTTATAAACTAAAACACTAAAAATTAAAAAAAAAGGAAATACTTACTACTAAAAATACTACTAATTAATACTAAATAATAATAATAATAATACAAAAGTAACTATATATTATAATTACCATTAAACAAAGACATACATACATAAAGACACAATTAATTAATTAAAAATCTAACAAGACAAAACAAAACTAATTAATTAAGTACAGATACTTAATACCAAAAATTGATTTAAAACAGACAACACTTGTTTTTATGGCAACTTTTTAATAAGAAAAGAAGAAAAAAAGTATAAATTATTCAAATGATTTAAGCTAAAGTATGAAGAAAAAAAAACTCAAACTCAATCAAAAACCAATAAACACTTTGTTAAATCTCACACATATTTTCTACGTAAATGATAAAAAAAATATATATATATATTTAAAAAAATCATACATATTAATTTGTGAATAGTTAAGTCTTTATCTTTAATTAAGTAGTAACAGTTTTTTAATTAATTCTTTTGCTCCTTTTAAAGGTTTTATTTATTTGGGTTTTTTTCCAAAAAGAAAAGTATTAATTGATAGACTAGACCAAAGGAAAAGAACTATAAAGATTGTGGGTAACTTCTGGCCATTAATTAGTTATAAACTAATGTATTTTAATTGAAATAAAAGAGATGAGATTTAAAAAATGTTAATATTGAAATCGGAAAGCTTCGGCTGTAATAAAAGCCAAATGTTTTACGAAGAATGATCCTCAAAGACTGCACTTTAAGTCATTCGGCAGAATGCCTTGAACATCGCTTTAATAAGTCCCCATTAATGAACTAGATCGAGAAATAAAAATTGGCTTAATAATTAACAAACCACCGAAAAGTTAACAAGATCCACAAAAAGCTATTCAGCTAGGAGACGTCTAATGATCGTATCCTTTAATATATGAAAGCCTCCTTAAGATTAAATGGTGTTATGAGTTTGTTTAAGTAAGTTTGGGTTACAAAGAAGATGCATACTACATAAGATACAAAAATTCTCTACATTAAATGGACAATTTTCTTTAGAGGGTTCAGTTTCAGAAACTCGTTTTTCAGGGCATAGTTCCTAAGAAATTTGTATATAATTTAGACGACAATAACAAAGAAGTTGTTACAGAATTTCAATGTTATCTCCACTCCTCATTCTCGTTCAATTAATCCAACATGTTATACTCGGACTTACTTATTCTAAGGAGTAAACTTTGGTGCAGGAAGCTCCTGCTCATGTATACAGGATAATAATTCGTTGGGTTACAAAGAAGATGCACACTACATAAGATCCAAAAATTCTCTACATTAAATGGACAATTTTCTTTAAAGGATTCAGTTTCAGGAAATCGTTTTTCAGGGCGTAGTTCCTATGAAATTTCTATAAAATTTAGATGACAATGACAATGAAGTTGTTACAGAACTTCAATGTCATCTCCACTCCGCATTTTCGTTCAATTAGTCTATCATGTTATACTCGGACTTACTTATTCTAAGAAGTAAACTTTGGTATAGGATGCTTCTGCATACAATGTTCTCTACGTTACATGGATAATAATTCGAGTTAATACTGACAATCATACAGAAAGTGTCCTCTCCAGATGCTCTACATTTTTCAGTATCTGCTCTTTAAATTAGTCGAATCAGAAATCGTAGCGTCTTGATATCCTTAGACTACATATTCTCAAGAGTCTTTCTCTCACTTGTGTCAACCAACTGAATCTTGTTACAGAATTTCAATGTCATCTCCACTCCGCATTCTCGGACTTACTTATTCTAAGAAGTAAACTTTGGTGTAGGATGCTCCTGCATACATGTTCTCTACGTTACATGGATAATAATTCGAGTTAATACTGACAATCATATATAAAGTGTCCTCTCCAGATGCTCTACATTCGTCAATATCTACTCATTCACTTATCCTCAGGAGTCTTTCTCCTACTTGTGTCAACCAACAGAATCTTTTTACAGAACTTCAATGTTATCTCCACTCCTAATACTCGTTCAATAAGTCCGTCATGTTATACTCGGACTTACTTATTCTAAGAAGTAAACTTTGGTGTAGTATGCTCCTGCATACATGTTCTCTACGTTACATGGATAATAATTCGAGTTAATACTGACAATCATATAGAAAGTGTCCTCTCCAGATGCTCTACATTCGTCAGTATCTACTCATTCAATTAGTCCAATCAGAAAACTTAGCGTCTTGATATCCTTAGACTACTTATTCTCAGGAGTCTTTCTCCCACTTGTGTCAACCAACAGAATCTTGTTACAGAACTTCAATGTCATCTCCACTCCGCATTCTCGGACGTACTTATTCTAAGAAGTAAACTTTGGTGTAGTATGCTCCTGCATACATGTTCTCTACATTACATGGATAATAATTCGAGTTAAAACTGACAATCATATAGAAAATGTCCTCTCCAGATGCTCTACAATCGTCAGTATCTACTCATTCAATTAGTCCAATCAGAAATCGTAACGTCTTGATATCATTGGACTACATATTCTCAGGAGTATTTCTCCCACTTGTGTGTCAACCAACATATTCTTAATGACTCTATCTACTGTTCTAGTATTCTAAGAGGACCTGTTGAATCAACTCGCCCATGATTTTAGCTTCGCTCCCGTGTGCTTTCGTCGAGTCAAACAGTTTAGCATTAATCGTTTAAACTTCCTCAAATTACCGTTATTACATATGAATTTGCTCTTTTAGGCTACCCGGGGATAATCGGGTAATGCCGGTCCAATGAATTGGAAAATATAGACCAAGGGAAAAATCTTTGAATTAGAATAGATACTAATTAAATCCGAGAGTTAAGTGATCGGCTGTACAGATCGAAATTTAACGAAAAATTTCACATCATACTCCTTCAAAGTTATATGAACTACTTCCGCAAACTGTTCCCTCCTTTTGACAACTAACAATACATTCAGAGCATCAACATATTAACAAAGAAATTGCTAGTGAAATTCCGTCAAAAGACAGTTGATCCGATGATATTAGTAGATAACAATCCAATCCCTAACTTGTAACCACTAACTAATAGCGATTGAATATCGATAATGCGGCATAGATGCCAGAAATTATAAGAAAGAAGAATTCGACTTCGAAAAGGCCTGGAGGTACCAAATATGAATGCGAAGATGGGCAGTATTGGTAGAAATTCGAAACTGATCTGATAGTCTGAGATTTAGACTGTAATAAAGTCTCTAAATAGATTTCACGAAGACGATATGACAGATAGCAATGGCTGAAGTCGCTGAAATGAACTTCGGAAAGATCACCAAACATGAAATCCTAGTTGAATTGTATCAATCAAAATAGGAAACCGCTTTCCCATGATCGAATTTGGAAGCAAATTTTTTAAACATTATTTTACTCTAATATTCAAATTGCTATAATGTCTCTAAAATCGACCGGTGAAGACAATCGATAGAGATCACGGATATGAATGTTTGAATGGTATGTATAGATCGGAACTTGAAGCCAGATATGTTCAAGGTTCAAGCTTAGTTTGGTGATTATATTAAAGAGCAGTTAGTACTATATACATATAAACTTATTTTAAAAGATTTCAATGTTTTTATTAAGGATATATATGGTAACAGATATTCACATCGGATTTACTAAGTAGATATCTCCAAGAAAATATTCTCAAAAAGCTTTCTAACCAGTTTCTTTCTTAATCTCATCTCTAACTATTTCATAACTCTTTAACTAATCAAAACTATAAAATTAACAAACATATATCTAACAAACTATTATTTGAAAGAAACTAAAACAAAAAATTAAAAAAAAATTTAGTGAGTTAATTAAAAATAATTTTCCAGCATTCATTATGCGACGCACAAATATAAAATCATTTATGATAAAAAAATAAAACAAAAGCAAAAAAAATATAATATTTAATTATTATGAAATTTAAAATTAAGGATAAATACATACATACGTACACACACACTCATCTACGTACGTGCGTGTCTGTGTGTTCTGTAAATGTAGATTTTTAAGTAGTAAATCATAATTATAGTATTTAAGTAAATAAGTTAAACTATATTTAATTATAAACCAATATTTCAATTACGAAATGCAACCAATAGCAGAACATGTGTATATGCTTCATACATACATAGAAAAATTACAAGTAACCCAATTGACCAAACAGAGAAATCAGAAGTCAAGAAAATGTATTTTTTGGTATATGTCCACAGTTAAGTGCAGTCTGAATTTTTTCCCATAGCAATTAAAGTGACAAAATCTCAGTAGTTATCTGATAAATCGTCAAGAATTAGCGGCAGTAGGAATTTAAAAAGCATGTCCCCAAGAGCAGGACAGTGACAAAAAAGAAATTTAATTGATTCCCCTTCGTCTTGGCATCTTCCAGGCTATGACACAAGCTAGTTCTTTTCTCCATCTTGTCTGAGAGAGTTCATAGAACCTGTTGTCTATGTGTGAGCAAACACTTTAAGCGGACTTTGGCAAATGTTGTCTATGTCCATATTGGAGGATATTTAAGCTCCTGTTTTCACTAATATAACTAATCTTGATGTAGTACATACACCGGTAAGGGATTTGTTTACAGCTGGACCATCGTTAAAGTCATTTAAAGTCGATATTCCAGTATAAAGCGGATTGCAGTCATACTGGGGCGCTCTCGCTGTCCGTTTAAAAGAAAATACTGCGTGGAGAACAACGTTCTTAGAGTCCCGAGTTTTCCGAGTTAGTAAAACTGAAATTTGTCTGGAAAAAGGTTCGTTGTTACCTAGGAGACTCGATATCTACAGATCTAAGTGATCATACACAAGGACTGAAGTTGCGTTAGCAGGTTGTCCACCAGCTTACATCACTACGATCACACTTGACTTCCTTTCACTTTGAAAAGTCAAAGGATCCTGCGTATAAGTTAGTACACTTCGACCTTATTACTCCCGATATAATCCTATCTATTTTGTCTTTCGGATAATCCTATGTTCCGGGTGACATCCTCTTTTTTTTCATTATAACAGAGAAGAACCTATCTTCTAATGCAATTGTGTTCCATAGCTAAGCTTTCGGATGGTATAACAAGACTTGGGATCTTAATAGGTTGGATATCGTCCCCACGATCTTCGCCATTCTACAGGTAGCCGAGGTTTATTATCAGACCTGGGCGATTTCCATTAATTTTGCATTAACATTAAATTAAAAAAAAATTAATTTAATGTAAAAAATATTGCATTAACATTAAATTTTTAAAATTTAATGCATTAAATTTCCATTAACATTAAATATTTTTGAATTTAATGCATTAATTTTACATTAACATTAAATATTTTTCAAATTAATGCATTAATTTTGCATTAACATTAAATATATCTGAATTTAGTGCATTAATTTCACATTAACATTAAATAAGCAATAAAATTAATGCATTAATATTCCATTAACATTAATATATATAAAAATTGATAAACATAAATAAAAATACAGCTCAAAAGACCTCGATCTAACTAAACAACTAAAATTAAATAGGTTAAAGTCCTTTCTAATAACTCCTATATTCCATTCAAACTTGTGTGTTTTAAATATGATATTTATATAAGATTCCACAGACAAAATAAACTAAAAAAGGAATATCTGGGAAGTGATATTATTCTTCTAATATGTATTATCGAGTATAGGACTTATTAGAAAGAACTTTAACAAAATAAACTAAAAATGGAATATCTGGGAAGTGATACTATTCTTCTAATATGTATTATCGAGTATAGGACTTATTAGAAAGGACTTTAACACATTCAATTTTACTTGAATTTTGTTAGACCGAGGTCTTTAGCGCTGTATTCTTATTTTTATAAATTATTTTATACATTAATGTTAATGGAAAATTAATGCATTAATTTTATTATTTATTATTTAATGTTAATGGAAAATTAATGCATTAAATTCAAAAATATTTAATGTTAATGCAAAATTAATGCATTAATTTCACAAATATTTAATGTTAATGTAAAATTAATGCATTAAATTTAAAAATATTTAATGTTAATGCAAATTTAATGCATTAAATGTACCCATGTTAATGTTAATGCAATAAACTTGCATTAACATTAATTTTTTTTAATGTAGAAAAAATTGTTAATGCATTAACACATTTAATGCATTTATCCCAGGTCTGTTTATTATGCATGATCGTGACATTTATCACTGGTCAAACGTTTGTTACTGGAGAGCGGTATGCCGACAAAACTGTTGGAATCTACCCTTGGGAATGAGTTAACAAAGAAAAATATAAAAGATATTCCCGGTTTGATGTCGTGTAAACACCATCGATAGCTCATAGGCGACAAAGCTGTCATTATATATATATCCAAATATCAATACGCCAATATCCAATAGACTTAAGATTCACGAATGGATTCAACAAACCTGACTTTGTTGTTGTAACTTTTTCGCTGTTGTTGTACGATCTTTCCAGGGAAAAAATATTCCGGTTGATACAACTATTGTTAAGTTTACAATCTTTGGCCATGCCGTAACGGAGTTGAAATTGTCATGGGTACCGCGTTTTACCATCTTTATGATAGTTGTGGCTCAAATTTATGAGATAATAATACTTCATGAAGGCAAAAAAGCAAATAAGGTCCTGCCTCCTTTGGGAATGAAGACTATGTTGCACTCTTTTGGGAATAAAGACCACATTGCACTTATGCAAAGAAATGGAGCGTAGTCTTAAAGGATTTGCCTTTCATGTAGGCATGTTGTGACGCAGACAAACGTTTAGGATCCTTTACAGAGTTTTCAGAACAAATGCGGATAGACAGATTGTTCTAAAATCCTCCTTTGGGAACAAATCTACCTTGCATATGTTTGCTTTCTTCCTTTGATTCTTTATAGAGTTTTTAGAAGGAATGAGGATAGACAGATTGATCTAAAATCTTTCGGTTTCGTGAGGTCTTTCCTCCTTTGAGAATGATGACTACGTTGCATTTGCTTGTTTTCTTAGTTTGGGAATAAAGACCTCGTTGTGCGTACAAATGGAGCCTGATTTCAAAGGATTTGCCTTTCATGTAGGCGTATTGTGACGCAAACAAAAGTTTAGGATCCTTTAAAGAGCTTTCAGAACTAAGAAGAAGAATAGACAGATTGGTCCAAAATTCTTCGGGTTCGTAAGGTTTTTCCTCCTTTGAGCATCAAGTCTACGTTGCACATGTTTGCTTTTCTCCTTTGATCTTTTATAGAGTTTTCAGACGGAATGAGGATAGACAGATTGGTCTAAAATCGTTCGGTTTCCTGAGGTCTTTCCTTCTTCGGAATGAAGACTTGTTGCACTTGTTTGCTTTCCCCCTTTTGGGAATGAAGTCCACTTCGCACTTGTGTGGAGGTAAGTCTCTAAGTATTTGCCTTTCGTGTAGGCGTGTTGTGACGCAGACAAAAGTTTTGGATCCTTTACAGAGTTATCACAACGAAGTAGGATAGACAGATTAATCTAAAATCCTTCGGATTCGTAAGGTCTTTCCTCCTTTGAAAATCAAGTCTACAATAACATGTGCATTGCTTTCCTTTCCTTCAATGGAAATGAAAACCACGTTGCAGGTGTGCGAACAAATGAAGTGTAGTCTCAACGGATTTAACTTACATGTAGGATAGACCGTTTGGTCTAAGATCTTTCAGCTAATTGAGGTTTTACCACCATTGAAAATCAAGACTACGTTGTTTGCTTTAAAAATCAAACATTTGGGTAAAAACTATATAGAGAGCCAGAAGCGTCTGTAAAACTCTTTTAAATGGTAAAAGGAAAATTTTAATTCTCTCAATAGAATCGATGCTTAATTTCAATAAAAGAATTATAATGTAAAGTTATGGTCAAGTGGGTAGACATATAGTAATTATAGTTGATTGTATTTATTAGTCAATAATGTTTAAGTTTTTAATATTTTAATGCTAATTTATTAACTAAATTATTTATTTTATATTAAAAAATTAGTTAAATATACTTTGAAAAGAAACAGAAAATTATTAAAAGGAGGAAATAATTAAGGAAAACTTGAAGCTAAAAGAACATAAAAAAGAATTTAGAAAATTATTTGTTGGGAAAAAATAAATGTTTAGAGTTTATTAGAAAATTATGTTAAAAGTTTAGTACATTTTTTTTTTTGAAATAAAATCAAAATATAAATTTAAACTTAAATTTATGATATAATTTATAAAAGAAAAAACTAATTTAATTAAAATATAGTTTTTTTTATAATATAAAAGAAGAACGAATAATTTCTTTAAGAAACCCACCCAAAAACTTTTTTTTAAATTTTATACTTAAAATACTTTTTAAAATTAATAAATAATTTATTATAACTTATAAGTTAAAACAAATAAAACTTAAGAAATAATAAGTTAAAACAAAACACTGCCCTTAAACAAAGAAAATCGAAATAAAAAACTCATTTTATGATTTGCTTCTTTTGAATAACTTTTTAAGTTTTAAAGGATTTTAATTTTATATAATTAAAACTATAAATGAATTCTAAATAAATGATCTATATTTCAAATCAAATACAGACAATAAAAAATAATTAACAAATTTTCTGTTAAAAATTTTAAGTTGACAAAAACAAAAAGAACTTAAACTTTTTAGCTAACCATAGAAACTACAATACAAAATTAAAGAAAAAGAATATTTTTTGAAATATTAAAAAAAAAAAAAAAACTAAACAATTACAAAAACCAACAAACAAATAAGCAAATAAGCAATTGACATTTTCTTTAAATTAAAAAAAAAAAATAAAACAAGAAACACTTCCAATTGAACTGTAATACTCAAGCGACTCAAAACAAATAAACAATTTTTAAAGAGTTTGTTTGAAAATAATTGAAAAATCTTAGAAATTTTTAAAAATAAGACAACAACAAGTGTGAAAAGCAATTATTTATTTAACAAAAGAAAAAACTAAAATTAAAAACCGAAAAAATTAAACGCATTCATATTTAAAAAAATTAGAAATTGAAACAATTTTTTGCATTAGCAAGCTGGACATCAAATAAAAATCATTAAAAAAAATATTTTCTTATTTCAACTTATAAAAAAAAAACAAAATTAACACAATTAAAATGAACATTAACATTTAATGTCGTTTTTTTTTTTAAACGGAAACTCATAAAATTTGCAAAAATTAATAAAAAAAAACATGTTAAAAAAAATTGAAATTAATAATTTAATTATTTAAAAATTAAAAACAAATAAAAAACTCAAAAGACACAAATATAAAAAACGTATATAAAAAAAACAAAAAAAAACTAAAATCCCAACATAAAATGTTAAATAAAAAAAGAAACTTATTTAAAAAAAAAAAATTATATAAAACTTTAAACAGAAGAGAAAAAAAAGATTTTAATTATGAAGAAAGAAAAAAAACTGAAAATAATATTGCGTTGCAAATCATATCATAAAATCAATTAAAACAACAAAAAAATGAAATAAATAGTAAAAAATTAAAAAAAAAAAAATAAACAAGTGTTTTGTTTTAATTATTTAAATAAGTGGGAAATTGTGAATCCTCCGAGGGAGCGGGTATAGTAACACCACCAGTATCAACTGCAGGTTCATGAGGCAAAGAATCGATGCTTTCCAAAGGTAAGAAACAATCGGTGGAAACCTAAAAAAATATAATTCACAATTGGCAAGTAGTTTTTAATGATTTTTGCTGCAGGATTTTATTGTTGTCATGATGCAATGATATGATGTCCTTGAGTCCTTAAGTCGTTTAAAATACTTTTTGTTATATATCCTTTTCTTAAGTATCAGTCCAATTATTCCGTAATAGGCTCAGCTATAGGTCCTTTAAATAGTTTTTGGGAAAAACGTTTTTGTTTAGACACATAATCTTTCTAATTTCACACAAACTCTACGGCTAAATCCACGAAAATGTTTACCACTTTTTTGTTAACGTAACTCCCGTGTAAATAAAAACTTTGAATACTGAACTTTGCAAGTTTGTTTAAAAAATTTTTTACTTTTTAAATAAAACTTTTTTATTTTATTTAAAATTATTTAAATTATTTTTTCTTTAAGATTTCCAAAACATTGGAACAGCTTGCACAGAAATAGTACTTTTTCATATACATATGTCCTTTGTGGCTTACAAAATTATAAGCATTTATAATGTTTGACGATTCCATTGACTAGACAATCGACTATTCCATAGACTAGCCAATTTACTAGGCCATAAGTTAGACAATAGTTTTGTTCATAAAATCAAGAATTTCCTACTAGAAACGATATAGAGCGGAAATATCGTAGAAATACTTGGGGATTCATTCACGTCAAACCCCTTAATTGGAACTCACAAGTATCCAGTACGATCACTTTAGCTATTACAGCATTATATGCCTGTCAGAGGCTATTTGGTAATACATGGGGTATAAAACCGAAAATGTTCTCACGGACTTTCATAACAAAGACCATTTTGACTTATGCTGCCTTAGTCTGGTGGCTAAAGGTGGAGCAGGTCACATCTGGGGCTTCTTTTAACAATGTTTATCGTCTTATCTGTGTCTCTATAAGAGGGCCATGAGAACATGTCCTATATATACCATGGAAGTGAATATAAGTATATTCAAACTATTCATTAACGACCCATATATTCGGATACATGATTATGGGTCACCAACATTGGTTTTTGGCCGTTCCTTCAAGGTTATGATACCTGACAGGAACTTATGGACCAATCAAACATGGTAGCAACAGAGTGCTGATTATGTTTGGTTTACCGATGGCTGCAAACAAATAGATGGCGAAATTGGGGAGGACATTTGCGGACCAGACTTCTAGAAGGCAATATCCATGGGAAAATACCCCTCTATCTTTCAGGCGGATATCTACGCCATCTTTATCTGTGCTAGCGAGTGACTTAGGAGATGGTTCAGGGGTCTATATATAATATAAAGATTGGTTTACCGATAGGTCCAAACAAATAGATGGTAAATATGGAGCGGGCATTTGTGGACCAAACTTTCTGAAGTCCATCTCCATGGGAAAATACCCCTCTATCTTTCAGGCGGAAATCTACGCCATCTTCATCTGTGCTAGCAAGTTACTGAAGAGAACGTTCAGGTTTCTATATAATGTCAGATAGCCCAGCAGCATCCAAAGCCTTATTGTCGTATGAAGTTAGGTCAGGTGCAGTAATGTACTACGTGACATCATTAAATGAATTGGGTAGACACAACAAGTTAACAATATGCTAGATATCTCTCCATGAAGGGCACTCAGGCAACGAACGGGCGGACTGCGTAGAAAGTATGGAAGCTCATCGCCCATTTATCGGCCCCAAATCATTCTTTAATATCCCACAAGGATACGCCTGAGAAAAATGTGAATCGTGCAACCTGCTACAACAGGTCTTAGACAGACAAAGCACTTAATTACGCTATCAAAAAAGGCCGTTATCGCTTAACTAAAGTGATCTGAGAATACTAACGGTATTACTCACGGGACACTGCGGTTTCAGATATCACCAATTCATTCTAGGAAACGACATATCGAATATATGCAGATTTTGTGACTGTCAGGAAGAAACATCTGAACACATACTGTGTAATTGTCCAACATTAAGGTCTTGTCGAGCAAGAATCATGGATGCTGCTTCACTAGCGCCGAAGGTTATATTCAACTTCACCTCAACAATCCAACCCCCCATTTTCATGACTGAATTGAACCTGTTTTGTGGTAAAACAACGAGCTGCACAAAACATCCAAAATAGGGTCGTAGTGCTCTGTGCATTCTCTAATCTTATCTAATTGTAGGAACGATTGTACTAGTCAAGATCCTTGCTTCATTTCACAAATTTCAAGAACAAGTTTATACAGCACGAAATAGGAAAAAAGTTTTCTCATACTTATAGCGACATCCAGTAGGTTAGCTAGTTTGAAAGGAGTATATTCGAAGAAATACACTTAGGCCTACGGCGGCCCTTTTGGTGTAATTCTTTAACAGTATCTCTGGTGGAAATCGTCCTGACAGATTAGAACACTAACAACTAACCTAACAGAGATGTCAGTATTGTTTTGGCAGTGTAATATCATCTTGACACTTTGATCCTTGGGAATCGATCTATTTCCATTCCTATCTCATCTTTATTTATGTTATTTTTGTTTTTCTAGTGGTTTGATTCTTCACATTCCACGAAGATGTACAAACGCAAGATATAACAAACAAAATAAAAACTATAGTAAAACACTTATCGATTTTTATTTTGTATACAATTTCATAAAAAACTGTAATTTCATAAAAAAAATAATCAAAAACCCGAATGTCGCAAAAAAGTTGTGTATATTTTAACAGCATGTACGTACCTCTTTTATACATATGTATGATTATTTAAAAGTCTCAAATAAACTTAAATTAGTTAATAACTTTATAAACATTTTGGTTTATAGAAATGTGTAGAAAAGTTTGTAGGAATGTGCAAATGTATCTTATTTTTCAGTATTTTTTAGAAATATAAATTGCGTTTATAATGTATTTATATCATTGTATGTTTGCTTTCAACTTAACTTTGAATATAGAAACCCTTAACCAGTAAAACTTTTAAATTCTGAAATTGTTCATAAATCCAGTTTTCTTTTCCGTTGTCCAATAAATGTAACTAATGATAATGAATCTATTACTACAGACATGCCCACTTACCTCATTATTTTTCACCAACTTTCTGGCCGGCATTGAATCTTCATTATTGACGATCAAACCCTTACGATGATCCTCTTTATGAGCCTTTAATTTGTTTACATTGATGGTAACAAAACTACATAAATCACAAGATATTTCTTTATAATATTCCACATGATTTAGACGGATATGACGTTTAAGGGCATTCGACTGAATACACGAGTAATCGCACAAGGAACATTTCAATTTACCAGCCAATTCGTGACGCATTTGATGTTTGTGTAAGACACTGGGATCACGTGTAGAAAATTTACATGATTTACAGGCTAAAGGTTTTTCGCCGGTGTGTTGGCGCATATGAATCTACAGATAAGCGGAAATTATATTGTTTGTAGTTAGGTTAAAAATGACAACTTACTATTAAACTGGCCTTCCTAGCAGTCTTCTTGCCACAAACATTACAATTAAAGGGTTTGATTTTATTGTGTACAGTTTTAATGTGTTTCGAAAGAGTTTTGCCGTTAACAAATTTACGTTCACAAATCTCACAAGTCTTTTCGGAATAATATTTATTTTTTCGGGGCGTTGGTGGTTTGGGAGTTGCCGGCTCTATGGTTTCTTCATTTTGCTTTAAAGCTTCCAAACGTCTTTGTTTGACAGCCTTCAAGGAGCGCAAAACTCTAGGGCGCCACTTTTTATGGACTCTCATATGGCGCCAGACTAGAGCTAAATAAAAGAATTTATATATATGTAAGTAAAAACTATGGCAAATATTTGTAATTTTGTTATTGTTTTGATATAAAAATCTTACCGGAAGCATGGGATTTAAACCCACAAATGGGACATTTTAATAAATCCACATCCAACTGATGCATTTTCCATAAATGAGCCGAACAACGTCTCCAATTGCTAAGACCCACCGAGCAAATATAACACTGAAATGTAGACTTATTTGCAGCATGACAATCCATGTGTTGTTTCAACTTTTCGGGAGTTTCAAATTTATATATGCAATTGCTATATTTATTGCATTTTAAGGACATTTCACTTCTTAGTATTAAACGAAAATCTTTAAATGGTACCGGCTTCATTTCGTTGTCGATTAAAGGTTTATCAATTTCTTCTTTTACTTCAGAAGCTTGTTTCTCCACCTGCTCTACATTTTCTTCCGGAGTGGGCTCTTCTTTCGTTTCCCTTTTAGTCATTTTCTGTTCAGGTTCCTCTTTCAGATTAAATTTATGATATTCTATCATATGACCACGTAAATCCTCTTCCAAATCATATTCGCGGAAGCATAAGAAACACACTAATATTATACGTGGAGGCAAATCATCGTTGAAGGAATCATTTGTTGAACTTTCCTCATTGGAGGTGGAGGGGCGAAAGAAAATGTCTTCTGCTTCTTCGGACATTATTAAAACGTTTGCAATATTTAAAACAAGTCTTAGAATGCTTTAAAAACACTAGTTTCCGCCAAAAATACTCTTATTTTTCAGACAATAATTAAATTTTCACACAAAATTACACTTGTTCATTTTAAATTTCAAGACAAAATATAAAACTTTAAAAAACACAACTTTATTACGGATTTTCTATTAATTTAGATGAAATCGTTATATTTTGGCGCAATTTCTTTATTTATAATTTACTAGCGTCTCATTTCCTGCCGTTTACCGTTCTAATTGCAAACAATTAAGGAATTATAAGCAAACACTATGTCGTGAAAAGTAAAACGTATTTAAGCAGAATTTACTCGCTTAATTTATCACTCGTTTGTTGTAAAATAGTCTATATAGGGTTCTTATTATTTTTTAACACTTTTCACTTTATTTTTTAAGCTTTTTTTATTGTTTTAATAACAATTAAAGAAGCGGATAAAAAACTAACAAATAGCTTCACTAAACTACAAAAACAAAACTACAGCTGTTTATTTGAGGATGTTGCCAGATGCGAGTTATTATTTCTTATAAGAATTTTGTATTAAAACACTGGCAGAAATTACTGATAATGTTTATTTTATTTGGAAAATATCTGTTAATTTTTCATTAATATATTTGAAGATTTAAATTAGGGTTCTATAGTTGAAACGAAAAGTCGACTTTTCGACTTTTTTCATTTAGTTAAAAGTCGACTTTTCGACTTTTTGCATTTTATGAAAAGTTGATTTTTCGACTTTTCGACTTTTTTCATTTAAATAAAAGTCGACTTTTAGACTTTTCGACTATAAGTATTTTATAATTAGTCGACTTTTTCCGACTTTTTTCGACTTTTCGACTTTTTTCGACTTTTCGACTTTTTCGACTTTTTTCGACTTTTTCCGACTTTTTTCGACTTTTCGATTTTTTCGACTTTTTGACTATTTTCGACTTCTTTCTACTTTTTTCCGACTATTTTTTTACTTTTTTCGAGTTTTTCCGACTATTTTAGAGTTTTTGACTTTTTTTCCACTTTTTTAAAATTTTTGACTATTTTTGACTTGTTTCTACAATTTTCGATTTTTCGACTTTTTCCGACTTTTCAACCTTTTCCGACTTTTTTCGACTTTTTCCGACTTTTCGACTTTTTTCGACTTTTCGACTTTTTACGACTTTCGACTTTCTTCGACATATCGACTTTATTATTATCGATTAAATTATCTAATTTGGAAAAATCTTTGTTTTCATTGCGATTTAAAAGAAAAGTTTTTAAAATTCTAGAAAATATTCTTTAAATTCTTCTTATATATAAAGTTTTCGTTATTCTTATACTCATAAAGAACGGCTTTTACTTTAAAAATCATTTGATTTTACAAAGTAATTTACTTTACATATTTTTGATAAAAAATTTATATATTTTTACATATAATCCCCCATATTTTTTTAAATTAAATGCAAATATCTTCAAATTTAACTTTGTTGTCATTTAAGCTTTTGCTTCTGGCAACTCCCTTCTTTAGAATGCCGGCATTTGACATTTGTTTAGTACATGTGTCAATTCATATAACCATCCTTGTCTGGCATTATCAAAACAAAAATCCCAACACAGTTGCAAAAATTGCATTTTGCACAAAAAACTGGGACAATTGTTTCTTTCGCTTTATTTTCCATAATATTGCAAAATAAAAGTAAATTTTTGTCATTTTAATTAAATAAATTGTTACAATCTTAAAAATAAAACAACAAAAATTACGTATATAGAGTGTAGAATAAAATTCTAATAAAACTAAAAGCAATAAATATTTTGCCAATAATACCCCGTATTTGCAACCTTGTGTCTGAACAAAAAAAAAAAAAAAAAAAATAACCATCAAAAGTAAAATCATTGCAAAAGACGAATCCAGCAAAAAATAAAAAAAAATTGCTTAAAATATAAAAACTATTAAACATAAACAGTTTAACAAATAAATAATTCAATCTGATTGAATTATTTCTTTAAAAAGCATGCAAAAAAGCTAAAATCTGGCAAAACAAAACGAAACTTATAGGAATTTTGTTTTTATTTGGATTTGGAGTTATTTGTTCACAGGAAAGAAATAACACACACAAAAAATGGCCAGCGCCTTAGAAAATTTTGTGAATAGTGTGAGAAGCCGTACTTCATCGGGTGAGTGTGATGAGTGACCGGTAAAGGTTGCTAAGAAAGTAAATAATAAGTGGAATTTTTGTTTGTTTTAGGTGCCTTGGAAGAACTGGCCACACACCTGCTAGACTCGGTGGAAATTTTAACCAAAAACTGGAATATACTCGATAATGTCCTGGAGACATTGGATATGCAACAGCATTCATTGGGTGTTCTTTATGTGTTAATTGCTAAATTTAATAGCATTGCGGTAAGTGGTCATTGAGGGTTATTTTTGGAGCGGATATATTATTAATGTCTTGTTTTTATTGCTTTTAGAACTCCAATGCTGATGTGGATGTACTGTTTAAAACGTTTAAGAAATTCATAGAACAATGCAATACCTATCAAGTTGGTTTAGCTGCCCATGCTTGTAAGTTGATTTTTCTGCGTTTTATTTATTATAGATCTAGTATAGATTAAAAATTTCTAGAATATTAATTAATTATGTCTATAATATATATTAATAGGAGGTCAGATATTTTTGTTGATTTCTTTAAAAAAGTATATTTTTATAATCACAGTGCATTCCTGCGCTAGATAGATAGATAGATAGATAGAAAGATAGATAGGTAGATAGATAGATAGATAGATAGATAGATAGATAGATAGATAGATAGATAGATAGTAGATAGATAGATAGATAGATAGATAGATAGATAGATAGATAGATAGATAGATAGATAGATAGATAGATAGATAGATAGATAGATAGATAGAGTAGATAGATAGATAGATAGATAGATAGATAGATAGATAGATAGATAGATAGATAGATAGATAGATAGATAGATATGATAGATAGATAGATAGATAGATAGATAGATAGTTAGATAGTTAGATAGTTAGATAGATAGTTAGATAGATAGTTAGATAGATAGATAGATAGATAGTTAGTTAGTTAGTTAGATAGATAGATAGATAGATAGATAGATAGATAGATAGATAGATAGATAGATAGATAGATAGATAGATAGATAGATAGATAGATAGATAGATAGATAATAGATAGATAGATAGATAGATAGATAGATAGATAGATAGATAGATAGATAGATAGATAGATAGATAGATAGATAGATAGATAGATAGATAGATAGATAGATAGATAGATAGATAGATAGATAGATAGATAGATAGATAGTAGTTAGATAGATAGATAGATAGATAGATAGATAGATAGATAGATAGATAGATAGATAGATAGATAGATAGATAGATAGATATAGATAGATAGATAGATAGATAGATAGATAGATAGATAGATAGATAGATAGATAGATAGATAGATAGATAGATAGATAGATAGATAGATAGATAGAAATATAGTAGATAGATAGATAGATAGATAGATAGATAGATAGATAGATAGATAGATAGATAGAGAGATAGATAGATAGATAGATAGATAGATAGATAGATAGATAGATAGATAGATAGATAGATAGATAGATAGATAGATAGATAGATAGATAGATAGATAGATAGTAGACATAGAGATAAACGGATAGTAGATAGATAGCCGCTCGCTCCTCCTCGCTCGCTCCTGCTCGCTGCTCGCGCTGCTGCCGCCGCTGCTCCTCGCCCGCTCGCTCGTCGCTCGCTCGCTCGCTCGCTCCTCGATAAAATATATACACAGATAGACGGATATTAGAAACGTTGAACCATTTCCTCATAAAAGTGTTATTGAGAATATTGATGACAGATTTGATCACAAAAAAAAATTTTTTAGGACAAAGTATGCGCTACTTTACGACCACCGATCTGACAAACTATAACACTAACTACTAACATACCGAAGGCAAACTAAAAAAAATAATAATTCATAGAATTATATATAAAAAACAATATATCATTTTAAAAACTATTTTCAGATTATGAATTGTGTCATATATTTACGAATACAATGGTGACAAAACCAAGTTGCATTCATGGTTTGACTGTTTTGCCACAGCCATTAATAAAATACGCACTCAGAGTCTCAACTAACACCCATCATGCTGCTCTCTGTCAGTTAAGTCTTAAATCAAAATGCTTTAGAGTTGCTCTAAAATATTTAGATGTCGATATAACAACAATATCAACCTCAGCTGAAACTAGAGGGCAAAATCAAACGGTAAATATTCTAGAATTTTTACTCTTTCTTATTTTTAAATTTATCAAATAGTTGTCTTTTAAAATTAAATTAATTGCGTAAATCTTTTTTGGTATATTTTATCTTCAGGATGTCACCAATCATGATGCCAAATATTTCTTATTATATTACTATTATGGTGGCATGATTTATACGGCTATTAAAAATTATGAAAGAGCATTATACTTTTTTGAAGTTTGTATATCAACTCCCGCCATGGCGATGTCTTATATAATGTTAGAAGCATATAAAAAATTCATCTTGGTTTCATTGATACTTCACGGCAAGGTAAAACATTGTTTTTGTTTAGTTTAGATTGATAAATTTTTATTAAATAATGTTTCTCTTTTTTAAAGATCATACCCATACCAAAATATTCTTCTCAAGTTATATCACGTTTTATGAAACCTATCGCTCAGGTTTATCATACATTAGCCGTTGCATACGCCACCACCTCCAGTGAAGAAGTACGAAATTGCATTATTAAATATAGTGAAACATTTGAACGTGATAATAATATGGGTCTAGTTAAACAGGTGAGTTTTTGTAATTCATGTAAATAACAAAAATTACACTAAAAAGTCACTTTTTCACTAAAAATTCACTTTTTCACTATAAAGTTACTTTTGCACTAAAAAGTTACTTTTGCACTAAAAATTCACTTTTTCACTAAAAATTTACTTTCAAATCACTATTTCTCTAAAAATTCACTTTTTAATTAAAAATTTACTTTTTCAAAAGTCACTTTTCACTAAAAAGTCACTTTTTCACTAAAAAATCACATTTTCACTAAATGGTCACTTTTTCACTAAAAAGTCATGTTTTCACAAAAAATTCAAAAATTTCACTAAAAAAAATCGCTTTTTCACTAAAGTCACTTTTTCACTAAAAATTACTTCTCACTAAAAAGTCACTTTTTCACTAAAATGTCGCTTTTTCACTAAAAAGCCACTTTTTCACTAAAAAGTCACTTTTTCACTAAAAAGTTACTTTTTCTCTAAAAAGTCACTTTTCCATTAAAAAGTCACTTTTTCACAAAAATATCAGTTTTTTACTAAAAGTTACTTTTTAACCAGAAAATCATTTCTTCACTAAAATGTCACTTTTTCACAAAAAAAGTTTTAATTGAAATAAAAC